ACTTTTCAAAGGTCACCCTGAGTCACTAACTTTTCCAGTGTCCCCTTTAAAGAAGAATAAACCCTGTTTCAGATGCTCAACACAACCTCACACCTGCGTACATGCACATGTGGGTGCATATGCACACACACCATGTACACACACCACTAGAGGGGGCCAGTCACTCTTATTCCCTAGATTGTAGGATCAGGGTGAATAAACCACATAGCTATCTAGCTGCATTATCATCTCAAACCAGTTTCTCTGAGCTGAGCTGTCTTCTCTATAGTGTTTTCTATTTACAGTAATCCCTCCTTCCTGGGACAAGTTCATGCTATCTTTTAGGACTAAAGAAGACTAGGTTGTGCAAGGCTTTATCCACTTAGAACATAGGGTTCTAAAACCTTGCTTATTGGTTAGATACTGAAGTCAAGTTTCTTTAAGACAGAAAAATATTAGAGCAAGATTAACCACTTAAATATAAGTTATACAATTTCCCCGGGAAACAAGTATCTTTCTCTGACAACTAGAACATGAATTAAGTGGCTCCCTGGTGTCTACCTCCTCTCAATAATTAAACACCAATATATTCTTCACTCAACAGTCCACTTTGTAATGGATTGGTTTTGTAATCTGCCCACCCCAATTGTGGTACCTTAGTAGATTATAACCCTAACTTTCCTACCTTGTCTGGAACCAGGATCTTTTAAAGAAATCCTCCTTTTCCATATGAGAGAGAACTGCCTAATTCTAACAGGCATTAAGGCAAAGGAGGAAAAGAGACTGTTAAAAGAGGGGTAGTTCACCTTATGCCAGAGGGACGGATGAAAGCAGGAAAGGAGGGGAAAAAGAGTATAAGCAGCTGGCTTTTTACAATAATGGCTATAGCAGCGGCAAGACTGGTAAATAAGAGCTTAGCCTCACCTGGGCCTTAATCCCAGAGTTGCCATTAACAATGTATTTCTTCTTGCTGCCCAGCATAGTGACATTACCAGCCCCACTGCCACCTCTGTGGTCCAGGGACCCTTGTGATCAGGCCTTTAAACTTTCCTCATCAGCAATTCTGTTGGCTCTGGTTCCAGCCAGCTTTTGGGGCTGGGGAGTGGGGGACTACTCTTCCTTGGAATCCCTGAAGCAGCTCCAATAACCCCTTCAGCAGTACAGCCCCAGTTTAATAAGGCATTTCTGTTAGTGGCTCATCAGCCATTCCTACTTCTGGTGGCTGTTTTGCTTTTATTTATTTTTTTCCTAAACACCTAATTACATGGATCCTCTGACCTCTAAACCTTGGCAAGTCCCCTGACAAGGCCCAACTTGCATGCGCATAACAATAGCTTATTTATATAACCACTGCACTTTTTTGCTTGCTATAATTAACTTGCTAATTAGGTTCCTTTTCAACCTTACCTCCTCCTTTTCCATGTCAGATGATTTTAGTTAACCTAGTCTCATTAGAAAAAAATTAACCACGGAGCCACTAAAACAATGAGAGACTTTATTAAAAGAGTAAGAAAAAAAAATTAATGGTGCCAAGTACTCAGGCAGGCCCTACCCTATACTCTATGTCCTTGGATTAGCTAGACTGGGGACACTGATTTCAGCTCTGTCACCAAGGAAATCAATTTTTCCAGTTCACTGCTTTCCTCTGAATTGTGCATCTTTTATACAGGTTTGACATTTGGTTTCTAGGCCCAGCTCAAGATTGTTGCTGATTTGGCATAGGGTGACCGAGTTTGCTCTTTTCACAAAATGTGTGTTCATGGAAGGTAAGACTACAAAGGGAAGTTTCTTATCTCCTCAGTCCCCAGAATCACAACAATCTTATTACATGCCAAATATTCAAGCAAAAGGACAAAGAATCACATTCTTTATTTGCTGATTTCTGAAAGAGACATAGTGAAGAAGAAAGCTACACTCAACTGTCTGCTACATAGATTGGGGGAAAGTGATGTGAATTCTTCCTTAAAAAAAAAAAAAAAAAGACTGCTTGTTGAGCATAAGAAAGGACATAAAATGGCAGATTCTATTATTTTTTTATTTTTTTATTTTTGAAACAGAGTTTTGCTCTTTTTGCCCAGGCTGGAGTGCAATGACGCGATCTCGGCTCACTGTAACTCCACCTTCCGGGTCCAAGTGATTCTCCTACCTCAGCCTCCCAAGTAGCTCGGATTACAGGCATGTGCCACCACGCTGGCTACATTTTTGTATTTTTAGTAGAGATGGGGTTTCACCATTTTAGTCAGCTGGTCTTGAACTCCAGACCTCAGGTGATCCACCTGCCTCGGCCTCCCAAAGTGCTGGGATTACAGGCGTGAGCCACCACACCCAGCCAGCAGATTCTTTTTAAGGATAATCTTTATTTAGAGCGAGGTCATATTGCATACTGCTTATTGACATCTCTGGAAGAGAAAAGTTCGGTAAGTGCCTATATTCACAGTTCTATGTATATGTTACTTCCATTAATTTGTACAAGAACCTTACGAAGTAGGCAGTATTATTCTCACTTGACAAAGTGGGAAAGTGTAACTCTGAGAGAACAAATGATTTGTCCAAGGTCTCACAGCAAGTAAGTGATGGACTGGAATTTGAGCCTGTGTTTATGCTAAAGCCAAAGCTCTATCTACTATACCATGCCTTATAATATAAGTCAGAAGACCAAAGGTCCTAGTCCCAGGTGTACTAGTCCAAATCATTCCTTTTATCTTTAAATTTACTTAATTTAAAATTACTCTTTAAATTCATTTTCGTATCAGATTACATCTTAGAAATGACATCATCCTGGATAATCTTGGGGCCCTGATCAAGTCACAACTTAAAACACCTAATTATGTAAGAATTAGAACTCTAACAGCACTTTAAGTGGCAACTTTGCCCAATGCCACTACCAGAAATGGAAACAGAAATTAATTGAACTCAAATACGAATGTTCACCATCACCCACAGCAATTCTGATCTCTTACTCATAATTTCACAAAGTGAGACAGATCACTTGCTTGCTTGATGAATCTCTAAACTTCTGCTCCTCCTAACAAGAATGTTCACCTCAGTCCACTTGTACTAAGCTGGTTCCCCTTTCCCTCACTCAGGTAAAAAGGAACTCCTTCGTCCAATGACTGAAGTCAGATAACTTGAGCCAGAAGGACTGGCATTTCTATACCAAATATAACCAGAAGACATTTAGGAGATTGACAGGAAAAGCCTTACCACTTAACAAGTTTTGTTTGTTTGTTTTGGTTTTTTTTGAGACTGAGTCTCGCTCTGTCACCCAGGCTGGAGTGCAGTGGCATAATCTCAGCTCACTGCAACCTCCATCTCCCAGGTTCAAGTGATTCTCCTGCCTCAGACTCCCCAGTAGCTGGGACTACAGGTGCGTGCCACCATGCCCGGCTAATTTTTTGTATTTTTTTTTTTTAGTAGAGACAGGGTTTCACCTTGTTAGCCAGGCTGGTCTCGATCTCCTGACCTCGTGATCCACACACCTTGGTTTGCTGGGATTACATGCGTGAGCCACTGTGCCCAGTCAACAAGTTTTTATAGAATACAGTAATTCTAAAATTTTAGCTGTATCAAAATCACCTGGAGAGCTTATTAAAGCACATTGCTGGATCTTAACCACCAGAGTTTTAGAATTATAAGGTCTGGAGAGGGCCCAAGATTTTGTATTTTGTAATTTAAAAAAAAAAAATTCTTTTTTTCAGCTTCCAATTCTCTGGTTGAAGATTTTGTGTTTTGAGTAACTCCCCTGGAGATGCTGATGCTACTGGTCTGAAGACCACACTTTGAGAACCACTGCTCTAACACTTTCTCCAAGTGTGAGTAAAGCAGCCCTGATTCTCTTGACTCTTCTTAATCAACCATTCTATCCTATCATGGCTATAACAATGGAGGCACCTTCACAGGCAGAAAAGTAAAGGTTATTTGAAAGGTCAGAGAATACAATGAAGTGATCCTTTCTTTTCTTTCTTTTTTTTTTTTTTTGAGATGGAAGTATCCCTCTTGTCTCCCAGGCTGGAGTGCAATGGTGCCATCTCGGCTCACTGCAACCTCCACCTATCGGGGTTCAAGTGATTCTCCTGCCTCAGCCTCCTGAATAGCTGGGATTACAGAAGCACACCACCACGCCCGGTTAATTTTTTTTGTACTTTTTAGTAGAGATGGGGTTTCACCATATTGGCCAGGCTGGTCTCAAACTCCTGACCTCAGGTGATCCGTCCACCTCGGCCCTCCAAAGTGCTTCAATTACAGGCATGAGCCACTGTGCCCAGCCGAGGTGATCTTTCTTCACACCCAAAACAGGGTCTAAAGATAAGTGGGTCTAATTCTGATTTCCATAACCTAAGGCTCTTAAGAAGAGATAGGTAACATATTAAGAAAACAGGACTCATGGAGAGGATAGAAGATCTATTTATCCTAAAGAGGTTCAGGCCAAGAGAAACCAATCAATTCCTTTTCAAGTACATAAATACTACAAAGGATGTATCTGTGTCTCTACTTCCTAAGGTCTGTCATCATTTCTAAAATGGGGATAATCATTTCTACTTTGCTTATCTAAAATGTATGCTGAGATAATAAGATAATGTGAGAGGGTTTTGAAAACTACATATTGATATACGAGTCTAAAATATTAATATTTCTATTCTTTCAAATTAAATGTTCTTAACCTATATTCCATGGATGTCTAGAACCTCCTACAACAGTATGCAAAATTTTGTATTTTTAATATCCTGGGGAGAGAGCCCATAGTTTTCATCAGTTTTTCAAATGGCTTTCTGTTTTAGGCACCAATCCTGACCTAGAGTTATAGTCAAGCTACCTCTACCACCATTTATCAGATACTTTGGAGGTTTTTGTCTCTACTTCCAAGTAGATATGGTTCAGATATTCCTCAAAACACCTCTCTCTTCCAAGCCAAATCAGTGGCTTGAACTAACTCTTTACCTATGAAAAGGATTACTTCTAGCCACAAGAATATCGGGCAGCAAGCTGGCTGGGTACTCAAGAAGTCAATCAACCAGATTTCCTATGGAAAAGTACAGAGAGCTGGAGTGGGAGGAGGAGGAAATATTAAAATGTAGAAACATAGAAAAAGTTATTGCTGATCTCCATGCATGTTAGTCGAGGTTAGTACCAGAAGGGACTAAAGATCTCTTAGGGGAAGTAAAACACATTAATAAAGACAATCTTTAAAAGGATGTGTTCCCCAACCTTTCAGCAGTAAAGCTGTCTGAACAAGGCTAAGAAATCTTTCACATGAAAACAGCTGAGGAGCAGAGGCGCCAGGAGAATTTTTCCAGTGATTGGTGGAACGTAACCTTGAAAGTCTACCTTGTCAGTTCTTGAGATTGGGGTTCTTCAGGCTTCATCTTGGCTTATTTCCCTGCTGGGAATCAGAGATGTGAGTACTGTCAGCTGTTATATGTAGTGTGAGTCCTATTCTCTGAGGGATATGAAGTCCCTTTTTGCTGGTGATTTTTAATAAAAGGGAGATGTTGTAATATACCTTCTCTGCTAAATTTTTCTCCTGAAAGAAGATTTGAGAGGCTTCTCATATTTCTTTTGGTGGCAGGGATAGTTTCAGTGGAAATTTCATTACACTAATATGTAAATGGGAACATGAGTAAGACACTTGTTAAAACTTTAACTTGAAACTTTGGCCCAACATGGGAGCTGGAGCAAGGGTTTTTTTCTTAGGGATTAAAAGACACTTTAACATTTCACAAGCAAGGTTTGGAAATCTATAGGCAATACACTGGAGGGTGCTCAGAGGTTAGCTTTCTTGGCTAAGTGGCTATCAGTAGCAGCCTAAATGAAGTACTTTCAGACCAAGTCAGGAGTCAATGACTTACATGGTATCTGAAAGAAAGCCTCAGAAGTCTTTACTAAGGAAAAGCTAGCAAATGAGACAATCGTGTTATTGAAGACTAGCCCCTCCCTATTCCTTTTTATTGCTGTTCAAAATACTGAGCAAAGGTATTTTCCTGCTATTTAAGAGACGGAGTGGCCAAGAAATTCCTGAGAGTAATACTTTATTAAAACAGAGCAGAGCTGTGCTTTTCTAAATTATTATTTTGTTTGTTTGTTTGTTTTGAGACGGAGTCTGGCTCTGTCGCCCAGGCTGGAGTGAGATGATAGGATTTCGGCTCACTGCAAGCTCCGCCTCCCGGGTTCACGCCATTCTCCTGCCTCAGCCTCCCGAGTAGCTGGGACTACAGGCACTCGCCACCATGCCCCACTAATTTTTTGTATTTTTAGTAGAGACAGGGTTTCACCGTGTTCGCCAGGATGGTCTCAATCTCCTGACCTTGTGATCTGTCCGCCTCAGATTACAGGCGTAAGCCACTGCGCCCGGCCACAAATGTTTTTATTTATTTATTTATTTATTTATTTATTTATTTATTTATTACCAACCAAGACACAGCACTATAGAGCTGTGTTTTCTTAAAGAGTGTTTTCTAAAAGTTGGGAAGCCTTAGATCATATCCCTTATGCAGTGGTCACACCAACTCCTTTAGGGCAGTTTTCCTTTTCACATAAGTAGAAAGAAGGTAAATAGGGTGAAAGTTCAGTAGGAGCTGCTACTGAACTTTAAGGGGATGTGCTAAGCTTGTAAGACGGTGAGGACTATGACAGAGAAATAAGAATTACTGTAAAACTTTGATTGATTCTGAGTTGGCACACTAATGTTCAGTAGAATTCTTCTGTAATATTCCTTTATAGAAATACTAAAGTTTGATACCTTAACGTGGCCCTTCCCCTAAGAAAACCAAATTTCTTTTTCCCCCCTTCTTGTTATTAGTGAGTAGCAAGAAATTCAAAAACACTCAACCTAATCAGAAGTATTAAATAAATCCTTCCATTAATTCTAAAACACTACATTACTTGGAATAAGCTTGTAGATGGATAGGTTTTCTTCCCACAAAATGTTTTAAAATTGAACACAAGGCTGGGCATGGTGGCTCACACCTGTAATCCCAGCACTTTGGGAGGCCAAGTTGAGTGGATCACCTAAGGTCAGGAGTTCAAGACCAGCCTGGCCAACATGGTGAAACCCCGTCTCCACCAAAAATACAAAAATTACCCTGTGTGGTGGTGCACACCTGTAATCCCTGCTACTCATGAGGCTGAGGCAGGAGAATCACTTGAACCCAGGAAGCGGAGGCTGCAGTGAGCTGAGATCCCGCCACTGTACTCCAGCCTGGACAACAAAGCCAGACTCCATCTCAAAAAAAAAAAAAAAAAAACCTGAACATAATGTTCTGAAACAACATTAAGAACAGCAATAACCTCCCCCAAAACAATAAACAATAGTTGTAACAATGAGTTGAAATGTAATTTCCTCAGCGGGGCCTTTGTTAGGCCTACTATATATTCTATCTCATTATCAATAGTTATTTCTTCAAATCCATAATTCTGTAAACACTAAAAAGAACCTGAAATATGTTTTAGAGAGTCTAACTAGTTTTCCATAGTGGGGAAACACAAACCTGTAAACATAAACCTGAAGAAACTATTTAGAAACATAAGGATGGTTATTGTTTTTAAATTAAAAGTTGAAATTCAATCCAATATAATAGGTTTATATGCTAGTTCTTATGAACAAATAAGTCCTTATTATCATTATAGTAAAACTACTGATCAGGCAAATATGGTAGTCTGAAGAACTGTACCAAGAGGGCTACAGTTCCTGCCTTAGAGAAATATATATATAAAGGATAGCTGGGGGGAAAATAGGAAAATGTTGTGACTGAAGGGAAAAATACAGGCAGGGAGGGGAGAAATGTTTGAAATCTTCTCAGACTTGAGAGAGCACCATTTCTGTAAGTTCTGTTTTTGTTTTTTTCTCATCATTGTTCTTTTTCTTTACCCCCAGAGAAACAAATGAAGCATCAGGTTGAAAACAGAAGTGCAAAACAGTCACAGGAAACACAACCCATACATCATACCAGCAGCCGGAGGAAAGCCCCCGCCCACCAGAGACAACCAGGCAACAAGCTGGGGCCACGCAACTCTCATACCTTTCCCAGCTTCGCAGATAATTAAGAAACAGCGGTGACCTAGTACCTAGGAACTAATCAGAACTTACAGTAATAACTTTTTCCAACCACGGATCTTGGTAGAGCTTCTTACAGGTGATCCTTGTCACCCGGCAAAATAGTTGCCTCTCATTATCAAGAAACAGAAGGAGAAACAAAACGACCAGAGAACTCACCATCCACTCAGGCATGTGAAAGCTGAGGTGCCCTCATTACCGTCCCACTTCTCCATAGTGCAGGCTTGGGTAAGATACGTCCTGAAGCAAAAGGGAAAGCTGGTTTGGAAATACCGGGGTTATCTGAGTGCCCCAAAGCAGACCCAACCCTAGTGAGATTCAGTTCACAGTGCTAGAGAAGCTGCATCCCTTTTCACAGCAGCCCCCGATTCAAATCAAGAGCATTAGTCAACTGCCTGACAACCCCTTACTGGCCGGCTTCAAAGCCTCTGTTTCTGATTTCAGAATCAGGGCTGATGCAAAGTGCTGCACCCAGGCACTGTGCCTCTCTTCTCACAGGGCACTCACTGTTTAATACTACCCAAACACTACCCGCACCTCCCCAGTGGGGACTTTCTGCAGCATTAGTTGGACTTCCTTCTTTCCTGTGTGTGAGGCACTTAGGAATTCTCCCACCCTTCAGGACACGTCACTGGAGGTGCGGATACCAAGATCAATAAAGACTGAGGTAAGGAAGGCACTCCCATTTCTCAAGAGTTGCTTGATTTGGATCAGTAAACAGGCGTTTCCTTGAAATCAAGAGCTCCTAGGGCTTTCAAGTTTAAACAGCTATGCAGAAGCTCCCCATCTGCTCACACCAGGGGTCTGGCAGCAAAATGTCACATATCTCAAGTTAGTGTCTTATTGCATGGGAAGTTCGGATGGAGCCTAGGAAGATCTTTTTCAAAATCAGAACTTCTTAGAAGCTCTAAGAAAGTTCTGGGACGACAGCTCCCTCTGCTGGTTCCCTGTGCTACATACACGAAGGCCTCAAGGCTCTCAGCTACAGAGACACAGGTGCTGATTGCAAAGTGGCTTCACTGAGGCTAGTCAGGAGCCCCCACAGTGTAGGTTTAGAGGACAGCCAGGGTTTCCAACCAAGACTAGTGCTGCCTCAAAGTCCCTAACCAACGCTGGATTTTACACACAGGTCTGGTTTCAGGAAGAAACAGGATGCCAGTGCAGTAGCCCTGTACACTATCACCTTAAAGGACCTCCGAAGTTGTTTCTGCTTTATGTCTCCATACCAACTGCCTCCTTGCTGCACACTTCAGAAGTTTGGAAATAAGACATAACTAGAAAAAAGGTAAGCTAGCCTATCTCACCTGCTTAGTTCATTCCTAGAGTATATTATCCAGTAAGAGTACCACAGGTTTCAGGCATGAAGGAAGTCTAACAAGATATGCCTGCTTTGGTCCCTTTAAGGACCAGGACTCTTTTTTTTTTTTTGAGACGGAGTCTCACTCTGTCGCCCGGGCTGGAGTACAGTGGCCAGATCTCAGCTCACTGCAAGCTCCGCCTCCCGGGTTTACGTCATTCTCCTGCCTCAGCCTCCCGAGTAGCTGGGACTACAGGCGCCCGCCACCTCGCCCGGCTAGTTTTTTGTATTTTTTTAGTAGAGACGGGGTTTCACTGTGTTAGCCAGGATGGTCTCGATCTCCTGGCCTCGTGATCCGCCCGTCTCGGAGGACCAGGACTCTTTACAGTGTTAATTCCCATTGAAGAGGATAGTTCTCCACAGCTAACAGTGACAATATTATAATTATGATTATAGGTTCTGTGAAAGGAAAACATCTTGGGCCCCAAAATCACTAAGCCAAAGGAAAAGTCAAGCTGGAACTGCTTAGGCAAACCTGCCTCCGATTCTATTCAAAATCGCCCCTCTGCTCACTGAGATAAATGCACATCTGATTGCCTCCTTTGAAGAGGCTAATCAGAAACTCAAAGAATGCAACCATTTGTCTCTTATCTGCCCATGACCTGGAAGCCCCCTCCTGCTTCCAGATGTCTTGCCTTTCCAGACTGAACCAGTGTTCATCATACATATGTTGATTGATGTCTCCTGTCCCCCTAAAATGTATAAAACCAAACTGTGCTCTGACCACCTTGGGCACATGTCATTGGGACCTCCTGAGGCTGTGTCTTGAGTGCATATCCTCTAACCTTGGCAAAATAAGCTTTCTAAATTAACCGAGACCTGTCTCAGATGTTCGGAGTTCACAGTTCATTTCCCTGTAGGGCCTTCACTAGTTAAGAGGATGGTCCTTTGGATTTGGAATGGAGGGGAGGAAGGTAATATCTACAGAAGAGGTACTGTAAGATGCCAGAGAGGGCGGAATTCAAATGAATGGCCAGAGGTTTGACTGTAGAGAAAGGCAGGTGAAAACGGGGACTGTTGAACCAGGGTGCATTCAGAGGTATCAAGGGATCACAGGGAGGGTGGAGAGCAGGCGAAATAAGAACAGCAGGGGTAGACGTAAAGGAAGCTGTGGTCTAGAGGAGCTATGGAGTGAGGCGATTTGAGCGATGTCAGGACAGAGGGTGATGAGATGCAGGGAAGATAAGGCCCACTGAAGTCAGAGTGTCAACTCTGATAAAGTCTTAGCTCCTAGCAACCTCTAGTTATTGTCCTCTGGTCTTCTTTTTAACCCAGAGAACTTCTTAAAATGAGAAGTCACATCTGTTGCCTAAATTGCCAATGGTGTATTTCATCTGTGCTTTTTTTTTTTTGAGACGGAGTCTCGCTCTGTTGCCCAGGCTGGAGTGCAGTGGCCAGATCTCAGCTCACTGCAAGCTCTGCCTCTTGGGTTTACACCATTCTCCTGCCTCAGCCTCCCGTAGCTGGGACTACAGGCGCCCACCACCTCGCCGGGCTAGTTTTTTTGTATTTTTTAGTAGAGACGGGGTTTCACCGTGTTAGCCAGGATGGTCTCGATCTCCTGACCTCGTGATCCGCCCATCTCGGCCTCCCAAAGTGCTGGGATTACAGGCTTGAGCCACTGCGCCCGGCCCCATCTGTGCTTTAAACGCAACACGTCTACAATCAAAATTACTGCTCCATCTTTCTCACTCCCCTCCAAACAACACTTCTCCTCACTTTTCTATTTGTGTTTGTGATGCCACTGTCCTCAGGCAACCATATATGAAACCTCAGGCACCTCTGATTTTCCCCTTTTCCTTAGTCCCCAGAACAATCAATTGGATATTATTCTGCGCCCTCCTCCACCAAACCTTTCATCTATCCCTTTCTGTTCATTTTCACTCCTCTTAACCCTCTACAAATCCTTTCCCAGAAGACTATCCACTTCATATATATATACACACATATATATGTGTATATATGTGTGTGTATGTATATAATGTGTATTTTTATTCTATCCTCCAGGTAGACTGTATTATCTGCTACTTCTTGAATGTAAACACTACAGTATGGTGACCATGAACAGTGGTTTTGGAATCAGAGTTAGGTTAGAATCCTGCCTCTGCCACTTATTTGACCTCTCTATATAACTCCAATTTCCAATTTGTATGGTGGAAATAATAACAGTCACCTACCTAACAGGACTGATGAAAGGATTTTAAAAGGGTACATACTCTAAGGCGTTAATGGTAGCTCTTAATTATGTTGTTATTATGCTGTGTTCTTTCCCACCTCAATACCTTTGCTCGTGTCATTTTCTCAAATCGAAATGCATTCGTTTCTGCCTTCACTTCCATCATCTTCACTTTTTCAAATGTTTAAAGGAATGATACTTCTACCATGAAACCTGACCTTAAAAAAGGAATCTCCCCTTCATCTAATATTGTTCTTTGGCTATATCACTATTCTCACCATTCCTCAAATTATAGTTCCTATGTATGTGTGTTACCCCTTGTTAGTCTCCATGCTCTTCAGGGGCTTAGCCTACTTTGATTTGCCTACAATACCTGGGATATAGTAGGTGCTTAGCAAATCACCAAATTTAAAATTTCTGTATGCTGTACATATACTTTATTATACTTTGGGAGCAACTTGCATACTCTATTCAATATGTTTATGTTCATTTTATAGAAGAAGGAACACTGTTTTATATTTATAGGGGCTTAGTTATACTACTGACTATAGCTATATGACTTACTTGACGATAAGTCCTTAGTAGGGTTTTAGTCCTTAATTATACTATCTCTTCAGGAACATATAATCCACTTTCCATTGCTTGATCTGCACCCATTGTAATCCATTTTGATCTGCATTATAATGAAAGTTTTGGAACAAATTAAGGCCAAAGGTCTATTTTATGGCTAGAGTGAAGCCCAACCCTTAGAATATTTCAGTGATAAGAAAATTACTAGATCATATTGATAGTGTAGGTTAGTGTGGTAATAATAACAATAATTTAAAAAGTAAAGGTAAAAGAAGCTGGGCGCAGTGGCTCACGCCTGTAATCCCAGCACTTTGGGAGGCCGAGGCGGGCAGATCGCCTAAAGTCAGGAGATCGAGACCAGCCTGGTCAACGTGGTGAAACCCCGTCTCTACTAAAAACACAAAAATTAGCCAGGTACAGTGTCCCGCGCCTAAAATCCCAGTCACTCAGGAGGCTGAGGCAGGAGAATCACTTGAACTTGGGAGGAAGAGGTTACAGTGAGCCGAGATCGTGCCACTGCACTCCAGCCTGGGTGACAGAGTGTGACTCCATCTCAAAATAAAACAATTTTTTAAAGTTAAAAAATTTTTTTAATTAATATTCTATTAATTTTTCTATTAATTTTTAAAAAGAGAAAAAAATTAATATTCTATTCTATTCTATTCTATTCTAACATAACAGGGTCTCACTGTGTCACCCAGGCTGAGGTGCAGTGATATGATCATTGCTTGACTTCCTAGGCTCAAGTGATCCTGCCACCTCAATCTCCCGAGTAGCTGAGACTACAGGTGTGCAACACCACACCTGGCAAATTTTTAAATTTTTTGTAGAGATAGGGGTCTCACTATGTTTCCCAGGCTTGTCTTGAACTCCCAGGAGTTCATCTCAAGTGATCCTCCCGCCTTGGCCTCCCAAAGTGCTGGGATTACAGAAATGAGCTACCGTGCCCAGCCTATTTTCTCTATGTAATGATTTATTAAATAAATAGAAGATGACAACCTTCATGGTAGTGTTAAACCATAGAAGAAAATGACTTTTAGAGAAACAAGATTAAAAATAAAAGAATAGGCCAGGCATGGCAGCTCATGCCTGTAATCCCAGCCTCGGAGGCCGAGGCGGGTGGATCACCTAAGGCCAGGAGTTTGAGAACAGCCTGGCCAACACGGTGAAACCTGTCTCTACTAAAAATACAAAAATTAGCTGGGCGTGGTGGCGGGTGTCTGTAATCCCAGCTACTCAGGAGGCTGAGGCAGGGAGAATTGCTTGAACCCGGGAGGCAGAGGTTGCGGTGAGTGGACATTGTGCCACTGCTCTCCAGCCTGGGCAACACAGCAAAGACTCCATCTCCAATAAATAAATAAAAGAATAAACACAAGTAAAATATATCACTTTGGCAGGCTAAACTGAGTGTTGTTTTTAGTTATGACTTTTTTTGTTTCCTTACTGTAGGTTTTAACTAAAATAGACTATTTGAACACTGCAACCTCACTACATCTTTCTGCAACAATTCTGAAATGGAAATAAAATAGTAGCTATTACATTTGAGAACTGAAGGCCTATTAACTGACAAGGACTGTGTAAGGCATAAGGAATAGGTATAAGTACTAGTTATAAATTTGTTTCCAATATAATTCCACTTTACCATAATGTGCCTTAGAAGACACACCTATAGCCAGGGCAGGAGTGAGACCACTGCATATGATTATATTACCCTTAACATGTAGGTGAGGAATTGGCAACTTCAAAAGAAAAGTTATGCAAACTGTATCAGCTCCTGCAGCTCTCTGTTGTAGTCAAATTCATAGAGACAGAAGGTAGAGCAGTGGTTACCAGGGGCTGGAGGGAAGGGAGAATCAGGAATTGTTGTTTAATGGGTATAGAGTCGCAGTTTGAGATAATGAAAAAGTTTTGGAGATGGATGGTGGTGATGGTTGCACAACAATGTGAATGCACTTAATGCCACTGAACTATTTACTTAAAAATGGTTAAAGTGGTAAATCTTATGTATATTTACCACAATTTTTTTTAAGTGGTTGTATTGGTAATGGTAGTGGTGGTGGTAAGATATAGATGAAAACCACAATGTGACACCATTATCTAGAAAGGCTAAAATGACAGAGACCGAAGGATGTGAAGCAACTGGAATACTGATATCTTGCTGGTAGGAATATAAACTAGAACAAGTATTTTGGAAAATTGTTTGACATTATCTAGCTGAACATATGCATACCCCATAACCTAGCAGTTCCACACCTAGATATATATCCAGGAGAAATATTTTCATATGGGTACCGAAAGACATACAAGAATGATCATAGCAACGTTAATTTTTATGGTCCCCAAGCTGAAACAACCAAAAAG